AAATCTCCATTAGACCTCCATGTAGATGTCTCATGGAGGTTGTATGGATCAATTATGGATGTTTTATACGACTTTGAAAAAGATTAATAAATACACATTTGGAGGCTTTATGAGAAAGTTATTAATATTCAAGTTAAATATATCAATATATCAATATATTATTTTTTTATATTACATCATAATTAAAATACTAAATAAAATTTAATTAATGTTATAAAATAATCAGAAAAAGTTAATAAAATGAATTTTATGATGTTGAACCAATAATATTTCTACGAAGCACGAAGCGCATATATATGTGCAGCGTGCAATAGGATTAATGAAATCTTTTTATCTTATAATGTTGGTAACATCGCATATTTTTTTCGAGAGAGCCATTACTCATCCATCTCTTGTGGTATACCATACTCGAGCTTGCTTTACTTAGTGATAAACTTGGCCGAAATTTGCCATTGAATGATATTATAACTAAACTTGCGATTTTGATATAAAAGTATGATAGATCTCCGATTAGTAAATGTTATCACATTGTCATATGCTTTAAATAGTTTCAACGTCAATATCTTGATTGCGTATGCAATTCTTGTACATAATTTAATTACATAGCATAATTATAAAGTGTGAAGGTTATATGTTATATAGATTTTTAATGTCATATTTCATATCAGAAATATTTATAAATTTATATATATATATATATATATATTTTATTTACTTGTTTATATTTGTGAATCATATTAAATATATGAGATATTTCTCTTGTTCGACAAAATACTATTTTTTGTGTTTGGTATAATCATTTATAAACAATTAAATAAGATATATGCAATAACTAAAATTAAGAATATATATTTATAAATAAATTTTTAATTTATATATAAGTATATATTCTTAATTTTTATCATTTACAAAGGGTCTAAAACCTCTAATTAAGCTCTATAGCTGATCCATGAAAGTTTCATGAAACATCCATAATTCATCCATACAAGATGTCCACGAGATATCTACACAGACATCCAACGGAGATCCAATAAAGCTCCATTGGAGCTCCATCATGGATGTAACATGGATCTCCATTACAGATCCATCTAGTGGTGCGAACTTGTGCCCGAGCACGTTGCCGATTTTCTCTCTCCACTTACGCACACAGAGACATTTTGTCTATTCGTGTGTCTATGCGCACTCGACCAAGTTCGGTGTGTCGAGCAAAAAAGAGAATGTCATCTCTCCTTCTCGCTCTGCTTGCTCGATTCTACCGCGATCGAGAATGCTAAATGCTTTTTCAATGTGAATCTGAGTCACGGGCGCAATTATAATTAATATATGATATATAAATGATTTTTAGAAAACATTACATGTAAAATAACTGAAACGTTATTTTACATTACATATAAAATAACTGAAAAAAGATGAATAAACATATAAAATGAATTTGAATAGGGAATTAATTTATTCAATTTAGCAATTATTTTACACCCAGTAAAAACTTTTTATATAAAATATATATAAATATAATAAACGTATATAGTTAAATACGAAATACATTCACATATGTTCATATTAGTTTTTTTTCTTTTGTAAAATTCCTCTTTGGTATAAGAAAAATAATAGTAATAATGAAAATATAAGAAAAATGATTGAAAAGATAATTTTTGCATTGTTTGTTCCTTTACCAAAAAATTAAGTTTGAAGAAAAGAAAAAAAATTTATATCTATATATAATCGTGTGTGTGTGTGTGTGGGTGGGGGGGGGGTAGGGGGGGGGGTGGT